ACAAAATCCACATAAATAATTTTGACAAAGAACTTTTCGTGTATGACGATTTTTGCAATTCGGCCCATGACGACAAAAACCACGATCATACCATGGACAATCTTATATATAAAAAAAAATCTTTAGAAGTAAATTTTCTCAAAATTATTAAATATATACCGCGTATTTTTGATTCGGGATCAAGATGAAGAAATGCACATTCTTTATTCATACATTGTCCAAATTTTGAAAAAAAATAACATTCAGGCATTTTAGCCATATCATATTCATGAAGAAATTCACAATCATCACCTAAAAGAAAATTTCTTAGAATAAAGAACAAAAAAGCTTTTAATCAATTTTTTTTTCTATACCTTTTTTGCATAAACCACGTAACCAATGTTTACATACAACTGTTTTATCGCCATGTATATGACGAAATGGACAACGTTGATTTGAACAATTCGACCGAAGAAAAAATTCACATACACCTACATTAGCTTTATCCATATTCGGAAATGGTAGTGGTAATGCACCTTGTTGAGAACATACTATTTCATCAAGATCAAAATGTATATTTTGTACAGGTGCTATGATATCTTGCATCAACATATTTTCTTCTTTTTTGTCGATATCAAAATAAAAAGAGTTGAATTATATTTGTATATATGTATTTGTGCAATAAGTTTTTCATCGATGGTTGAATGCTTCAACCATTCAGATACAAGTCGATATTTAGATGGTGCCACATGTATAGTATAGTTTTATTTAATATTCATATATTTATTATTAAATTTTTTTTATAGATCTATTTGACTTTTTTCATTGCTGCAATGTGAGATATTCGAAAAAAATCTCAACGCTGTTGATCGTCTGATAGTATATCTGACTTAACATCGATTGAAAAAACTATTGTACAAAATCTTCGATTTCAATGTCCAAGTAAAAAAAGGAGTTTTAATGGGTATGCAAGTTGCGTATTTTAAGGGATCACAAATAGTTGAATGTCTCATTGAATCAAAATGATCATTGATAAACACAAAACTATCAAAGAACACTAGAAATCCAATTTGCTTCTCGTGAGAACATGATGCTACGCAGGTATATTGAATCATCTTTACTGTTGAATGTTGAATAATTTTATTTAAGAAAGTAGATACTTGGAAAATTTTTGGATCATGTAGTGTTTCTAAAAATAAAAATGTGTCATCGGAAATTGTTAATGATATATATCAGTCAAATATATCTCGTTCTGTTCGACAACGAAAAAATAAATCAGCAGCATATTCATTTTTGACAATTGGAACAATAATAAACGATGATGATAGCAAAGAAACAGATAAAAAAAATTAAAAAAATTCAATTTGAATTACATAATGATCAAATTTATCAATTGTATTAACTAGTTTACTTGGTTGATTAATTTTATTAGTCATTGTTAAAAATATTATTTTTCCCGTTATATGGATCGTTACATTTGGTAAAAATGAAGTTTTGGTTATTACCAAATTTAACTGAAGATGTTAGTTTTATTAAATCATTTATTCGATTGTGTACAGTGAATATCACAATAAAAGAACATAAAGAGTTTTTATTAAATATTGCTCGAAATGAAAATGAATAAGAGGATAAAGATAAAGAAATATTTCAAATCAAATCGTTTCAAATAATGATATTGATGAGAGAAATGAATCGAAGTTCTGCACTGAGTCGGGTTAGTAAACTCAGCAAATCCACCATTATACGTATTTGCTACAGTAGTCGTTTCTTTTGGTTGGTTCGATGCATGTGTGCGTGTGTTAATTACAAACACTGAATCGATAGGATAGAGGAGCCCGTTCAAATTATCCAGTATAAGATAGAACCTGTCGAGTTTACTTACTCAAACCAATGCAGTACTCTACAATAAACGACAAAAGATCATGTGTTGAGAATTTTGAAGCATCTTTCAGAGATGAACTCGAAAGGAAATAATAGATTTAATATATCCCAACTCATGTAACATTTGTAAATATATTTCGGACATTTCTTTTTTTCTTCGTTTTAAACGAACAATTTGCTTTGGTTATTATGTATACAGTGAGAATGTAAAAGAAAATGTCTCTAAATTATAATCTCGCATTCTTCTTTATTTCTTTTGTTATTTTAGTCATGCATCTGTGCACTATAATAGTTAGGTACATGTTCTTAAATGTTCGTTACCAGTTCAATTATAAAAAAAAAGAAAAAGAAATAGAGTTTGCCAAAATTTTGTACTTCATTATTTGTATTCAATTTTTTTTCTATTCAAAATATAAACAAAAAATCACACACTGATGTAAATCTTTGTGATAGAAGCATCAAGAAATATATTTTTTAAAGGAAAAACATTAATATGTGACAAAAGAAAAGCGTCTTTTCATAGATTATTCATCAAATTTGTTAATCATCTTCTGGACTATCCCTATAGAGTAATAATTCTTGTCTCATTTTATAACGCTTACACATGACTCAATATCGTCGCAGTGACTTGCCATCATCGATATCATGTCAGTGTTAACTTTATCAATAAGCATAGCATCTGATATTCTGTTTTATATCACTGTTCTCATTTGTGATTGAGAGAGAACGTCGCGAAGTGATAAATCGTTTTTCAGATGAGTTTTAACTCATTCGGTAGGCTTTATTGAATGTAGACAATACACAAAAGAATTTGCATCTATAGGTCTTAACTCTTGAGTTGTGGCTATGTGAGTGAGATTCTTAACAAAATGTTGTAAACCTTTACAATAATAACTTTCGAATGTTTGCTTCCAACTTTGAAGAAATAAAGTTTTTAACGGAGACTAGTTCATTGTGAAAATGTCAGATTTTCTATTACGTCTTCTCCTCAGACAGATTTCTATAAGTCAAATTTTTCTTACATTTTACGATTTCAAAAATTGATTTATGATTGAAAATCTAATATATTTGCAATAAATTTTGTCGATTCATTCATCTTAATCATTCAATATAAACATGTATAGCATTAAATATTTGCTAAAATTGAATAGACTATCAATGAAAAAAATTAACTATTATGTCACGAAATGATAAAACAAAACTGTGGTAATAATACCGTAAATAGAATTTTCATAACCATAATACTTTTTTTCTCAATTTCTGAAGAATATCACTGATAATGTCGGATAATTTCTTTTTTCTTCAAAATCTTTTCTATTAGTTCTCAAGAAACTTTTATATAAAATAGATAAGAATATTGAAAATGCCCTTGCTCATCATGTAGTATTTGAAATTCCTTTGAGAATATTGAAGTTAGATATTTAATTGAGAAGAATTTAAAATGCCAATGAATATGATCGTTTGCTTGTTGAAGTTAAAGTTTTAACGAATTCTAATACAGGATAACTCATAGACAACTAGATGATCAAAATAATTCAATATCTAGAGTTGGTTTTAATCCATCGGGTTGATATTTCCTTGATGCACGAGAACTCGTCAAATTTTTTACTCATAAGGAATTTGTCAAATAGATACTGCCTAGAACAAGTGCTATGGATCTCAATAAAAAAAAATGCATCATTAGCCGAAGCTATCTCAGTCATTCTTAGGAGTAGACAAATGAAATTTTTTAACTTGTATACTACCTTTGAAATGTAAGTAACTGAGATTAATGCGGCTTCGTTTGCTTGAGCTGAAGGCGAGTTATAATCCATGATCATCACCCTCTCATTGTGAATTTTTTATAGCTCGACGAACGTATCACTATCTATTTCTTTAATGCAGATATTCGGCCTATAAATTTCATTGATTTTTACCTAAATCTTCAAAATCTGCAGATATTTTACGTAATCATAGATTAAACAAATAGTAAGCTTCGTCCCTTCTAGAGCTGCATACATTATAGTACGAAGAGCTATTATACATCATAACCTCTCTTTAGTTCAAATGATCAAGACTGGGCTACTTTCGTGTGTCTACTTTTCTAGGAAAGTGTATATGATAAAAAAATTCAGAGGTGCAACCTTTCGAATGACTGAGATCGTAAGGAATTATTTTCAGGTGGTAATGCATATCTTTATTGAGGTCAATGGTGCTAGTGCAAAACAGTATCCATTGATGATTTTCTTGTGAGTAACGATTTTGAAGAGTCCTATACCACCGAAAAAAAACACCAACCGAATCGATTAAAGCAGATTAGAGGTAATGAGTGTTTTCATCTTCCAACTATTTATGGACCATCCTATACGTGTAACTGATACATGGTTTTCTCATTTGTAGGGCATGCACGATATTTCAATCAGTTAGAAAATACTATTCTTCGAAATTTAATTACCAAACGAATTGATATTGACACTGTAAATTGAGATAGTCTCTTGATGATTAAATATTAAAACGCAGCATTTTGTCTTTAATCTAACATGTATGAAATCATTTAAGAAAATATCCTATTAAATTTTTTTCAATCTTGACTCACATGATAAAATATTATCTATTGCTCCGATGGGAATTGACTGAGCATAAAATATAAAAGAGGTGGTTTTAGAGTGGAAGCACTGGGTCTGATCGTCTTCCCTTCTGAAATATTTTTCGATATTTCTCAGCACAAAATGAGTCGACATTATCTCGAATAGACTTCAAAACACGCTTTATGACCATGTGATGGTCCCCCTTTCTCAAAATTATCGATCTCCCACTGAAAGACAAAAAATTGCTAATGAATAGATTTCGGCAATGGTGAAAAAATTTGATTGGTTGTTCAACGATTTAGTTATTTATCGTATGTCCAATTAAATTATTTTATCAAATTGCATAAATGTGTAGCATTCTCATGAAATATATATATAGACGGCCAGACAGAGAGCATACTGCTGCATCTTTGTATTCCTAATAAACATACATCATAACCAACATGGCCACTATTTATACATGCTTATTGTTTTGTTTATTCTTGATATCTTCATTTAAATAATAAAGAAACAACAATCCTTTTATATTCTGGAGAAAAATCGTTTGTATCTTTTTGAATTATTTAATAAATAATGACAGATCAATTTGGCGTTGTTTATGGTGCTTCATTACGTATGTTATTTTTGTTTTTAAATGCTATTCATTGTTTGAAAATTGAAATTATAGTTCTTGGCGGTATACTTGGTTATGTTCGTCGTCGTAGTAATATTTCACTTTTAGCTGGTAGATTAATAAAAACGAATCTAGTTAATCAATAAAAAAGATTTTTTTTTTTACTAAGGTATTTTCTTTGGTGCTTGGTCTATTTACAATGCAACACATCCTACACGTCAAAATCATGTTGCTAATTTTGCTGTAAATAAAAATAAAAAATTTTCTTGAAGAATTATATTATTATTATCATTTTAATTGTTTAGATTGCTGCAGGTCTCGGTATTCTAATGTTAATACGCTTTTTAAATAGTCGTAAATGGTTTCCAGCTCTTGTTATTGTTGCTTTATCAAGTGTACAAGTCTATCAAAATTATCCATATCTTAAATAATAAAATGATTTATTCAAAAACAAAATTGCTAAATAAAAATGTGTAATTCTTTTACTCATTTAATCAGGCTGACTATTTGTTCTCTTTTGTCTATCGTTCAACGATATTTCGTTTTTGTTTCTTTTGTTACTTTTTTTTCTGTGAACGAAGTGATATTTATCGTGTATTCATAATAGCGTTTCATACGTTGACGTCAGAAGAAATATTGAACTATTCTGTCATCGTCTAATGCAATGAGAGAAAAAAGAGAATTAAATGTTTATTATTGTTGTTGTTTTCTAGAATGTGCATATTCATACGAAATTTTCTTTATTGGTATTATAATAATAGCAATTAAAGAACAACAATGTCCTTTCCACCGCATATGCCAATGATACCTCCTATGCCATTCTTCCCGCCAAGTGCTCCCATGATGATCCCACCTAATGTCAGTATTGGGTTTTTTTTTCATATGATACGAAATAAATTGATTATTGTTTATTTAGATGGCTACACCACCACCAGGCATGCCAACAGCAACTAATGGTACTCATAAACCAACAGAAAATGAAAAGGTTTGTTCCATTTGTTTTTTGAATTATTGGAATATATTTGATATTTTATTGTAGAAAAATCGTCCTCAAACACTTACAACAGTATTTGTCGGCAGTATTTCTGAACGAGCACCCGATGCTATGATCAAACGAATGCTTCATGTAAGTAAAATATCATTTGACATGTGTGTGATACATTTACTGTTGATTATTCAAGGAGAGCAAAAGAGAAACTTTTCTGTTCTTAATAAGCAACTATTTGATTAATTACTTTTGGCATTCTTTGCTACGTCATTTTTACCAGGAAGAACTTACAAGTAGAAACTTTTGCGGTTAGAAATACTGCAAGGAGTCTAGATAAAATTTTACACAAGGTCAGTCTAAGAAAGAAATCATTTGCTATGTTTTGCTTCGAAGGACATGAATAAGTACCAATTATTTCGTTAATATACATCACATAGTATTGGACATTTCAAGTACATATACGACCGAAATCGTATTTGAATAGTTATCCCTGTTTTAGATTAACTATCTTGATAATTTGTGTAATAATAATTCGTCTATGGATTATAATCATTGATAAAAATGAATTAACATATTCTTTTTTTTTTGTTTACTTAGAATTGTGGCACTGTCGTCAATTGGAAACGAGTTCAAGGTGCCAATGGTAAACTTCAAGGTAAACAATGAGTTAACAGTATTTTTTCATTTAATTTATTTTTACTATGGATTTTTCTAGCATTTGGTTTTTGTGAATATGAAAATCCTGAAGGTACACTTCGTTGTATACGTTTACTTAATGGTTGGCAAATTCAAGATAAAAAATTAGTCGTAAGTGATTTTTTATTTCCAATTATTTTTTTCTTTTGGATTATCAAAAATTAGACATCTATTTACAAATACATAAACATGTAAGTGTTTTGCATTGTGTGTTAGAACTCCCGGATATTTTCCGTTGATGGTTAGGTGTCTCCTAACTTGATTGATTGGTTTCAAACACGAGACAGACATTGATCTGGTAACAATTTGTAAACATCATTAATAAAGTCATTTTGTTCTATGAAAAATCTTTTTGTTCTTAGTGTTTATTATTGAACACAAATTACAATTCTTTTATGTAAAAACAAGAGTGAGTGGTTCCTTGTATGGAGAATTTCTTATTATATTGTTTTATTTTTTGAGATAAATATATATATATATACATATAGATATATTTTTTTTAAATAATAAATTTAATTTTGAAAGCAAATATAAATGTGTTTTATTTTCTATTTAGGTTAAAGTCGATGCTAAAACAAAAGCATTACTTGATGAATATAAAAAAAAGAAACGACATGAATTAGCAAAAAAAGCAGCTAAAGATACAACAGCTTTTAAATTTGTTTATGAAGATGATGACGAAACAAAAACATCGAACAGTAAAGATGTAAGTAGAAAATAAAGATTTAATTAATAATAAAAAACATTGATATTAACTTAATTTAATTTTTGGTTTATTTTTTAGAAAAAATCCGGTGAAGAAGGTGAAATTGAAGAAGAAGATGATGATTATATCGATAATGAAACTCGTCGTGAAGATTCTACTATCAAACAATCACTTGAAACAATTATGCGTGAATATGCTCGAGAAATGAATCAACGTGCATTAGAAGCTAAAGAAATGGCAGTTCGTGAAGCGCAAACAGCAACAAATCCAATATTAAATATGCCACCGTTACCTCAACTACCAATTCCTTCAAATACAACCGTTAGTCCTGTACAAGATGCATCATCATCGAATTCAACTAATTCAGTAACACGACGTGTTGATCCAGCAGTAGCCTCACTTGATGATGAAGACGGAAAACGAAGTTTAATAACAAATGAAATTCAAATGTTTCGTGATCGTTTTAAAGATGAAGAAACAAAAATGCGTAATACAGAAAAAGAACGAAAAGATCGTTATGAACGTGAACGTGCATTACAACGTGAAAAAATTGCAGCTGAAGAAGCAGCTACTAGTAGAAATAATAAATCTTCAGTCTCACCATCTTCACGTAATACACCACCACCATCATCATCATCTCGTGATCGTTCATCACCAAGACATGATCGTAGTACTTCAAATCGACGTGATCGGGCATCACCTAGTGACGATCGTTATCGTAGTTCATCATCAAGAAATAATACAAGTAATTCTGTTCGTAGTCGTACAAATGATCGACGTAGTTCACCAACATCACGTTATGATCGTCGTTCACCTGTTCCATCAGCACGTCCTTATAGTCGTCGATCAAGAACAAAATCGCCATTGCCAAAAATGCATTCTAATGATGAAGATGACGATGAAGCTTATGAAAGAAGACGACAAGAAAGAAGATTACGTGAAAAAGAATTTCACTATCGTGAAGTAAGTCCAGTCAATTATTAAAATGAGTGTTACAAATTATAATCGTATATATGTATTTTAGAAGTTCTAGTTTTCGATAAAAATTAGTTTACATGCAGCATTTTATCTAGTGAGAGAGTGACACTCTTCAGAAGATTGAATTGACCATCCAAGAGTTTTAAGTCATCCTTCCGGACGAGAAAATCTGAATGAAGCACTGTTTTCATGCAAATGCGACGTCACATCCATTTAGTTATGTGTATATAATCTTCAAATATTCAAGTCAATGCGCCAAATAGCATACTATAGGTTGATATTATCTTTTATGCATTATTCACGAGGGAAATCCGTCTCTCGCCCCCCCCCCTCCCCCCTCCCCCCGTCAACTCCCCCGTTCTGTCTTTATCTTTTTATTCTGTAG